TTAAGTTTGCAAGAGTTGAAATTTCCTCTTGGGAGTTCTCTATGGAAGAAGTATATGATGAAAGAAGCCCTTCCATTGCTCTTTATTTTTCCTTCTATTAATCCACATAAAGGAACCATAGGCCCTAGAGTACCTACTTTGATACCATGTTAAATTGTTATATTTCTTTTTCTTCATTCAAACTTCCAAAATGCAAGCGATTATATATAATGCATAGAGAAAAACTATTCTAGGAAAGTAATAACCGTTATATGTAATTATAGGCTACGATTATGGGATTTATATTATGATCTATATAATCTCTCTTTAGTATCCTCTATCATGTAAGAATCCTTATATAGCATATATTTAGAAGACAGACTCGTGTCAACACAATCTCCTTGCCCTCATGGGAAACAATAAAGAAAGTAGAGATGTAGAATATCAATATCACATAATTATTTAATTATGAAAAAATCTCATATTATAATAATTTATAATTATCATTTATAAACATCATTTTAACCGAACCTTCTAACTAGTCTTTCTTTTCCATAACTAGATGATGCTTAACAAAGATGTAAGTACTCGAAAAACCTTTAACAAGGACACATCATTACAACATAAGCTTCCCATTTCTTTCTTGAACTTGAAAAAAAAACCGACATAATAGTTTGTTAGAAAACGAACCAAACAAGAAAAATAGAGTAGAAAGACAAGAACAATCACATAATATAAAAGTTTATGTAGTTTGACAATTATCCATACTTTACGGTTACACTAGGATTTTTTATTTAAAATTTTCAATAAGTGGCTATAAATACAAGAGATGCTATTTTTATTTATAATATAGACAACTATGGTTATAATTATTAAAAAAAGTCTTACGAGTCTAATATTCTATAGACCTTTCAAAGACTTCACCTCCGAGCTTCCATAAATTAGGCATTATACTTTTGACTTTTGCTTGCTAACCAACTAGCGAGACTATCGTGCTTGTTCTACATAACATACTAAACTCGTGAGTTGTATTGACATCATTCTTTACAACTTAATACATTTAAGCATGCAATGTACTTTCAAACATACTAAAGTGCTGTATTTTCATCTCTAGGGTCATGTATCCGATAGGTTTTAATGAAATAAGATTTGATAATTTTAGTTTTTTTTTAATGAAATACTTTTTTCAATTATAATTATCTAATTTGAAAGAGCTACTTTCATTTAGCTTATGAAAAATTAAAATTTCCACTAACAAAGAGAAAAAGAAAAAGAAATAGAGCCCTAAATTTTAGAGCTCATAGTAAAGATTAATGTTTAAGACTCAAGTTTATGTCCTCCTCCCTTAAAAATACATTCAGTTTAAATTGGCAAATTTTAATCTTAAAGGTCAGTTTCATATTCTATTCATGTTTTAAGGTTGTCCTAATCATTTTGGCCTGGTATTTTTAAGGTTTTTTCATATATTTATCCTTAGCATGAGTTTTAAATTTTATAATTTTAAGAGTTTATTTTCTATTATTTTGAAATTTGTTTATTGGTATACCGTTATTTTAATTATTAATGTGTTTTAAAGTTTAATTATTAAGGTCATTATTTAATTTAATTTTAATCTAATTTTTTTTTAATGTTGTTACATATATTTGTTCTTCGCCTATGTTTTAAATTTCATAATTTTAAGAGTTCATTTACTTTTTATTTGATATATTTTTTTATTTTTTTCCATTTAACTTAACTATTGCTATGATTGTTTCGAAATTTAATTTTTTGGTCCATTATCTCTCATTATTTTAATTTGAGTTTTTTTGAATTTGTACATGCGGTTGTCCTTAGCTTGTATTTTAATTTTCATATTTTCAATAGTCCATTTGCTATTTATTTGTAATTAATTTTCAATTCTCGCTATCATTGTAATTATTAATACGATGGATTTCTTGTTTAAATTTATTTAGCAATATGTGAGGTCATCAAGTCTCTTAGATTTTAGGGACCGATGATGATCTCTCATCGAATCCATTTTGTTATTAAGAAAAAAATGTGTCTTCTTAAGACAATTGGGAAATCCAAATCAACCTAACGAGCTCTTAATTTAATAGAGATGGACGTTAGTCTCGACACCATGACGCACAATAAATAATAAACAAAAAAAAGAAAAACATTAGCTAGGATAGACACGAATTGGTTTAAACACCTTTAGCTAATTATGTGATTCATTGATATGCAGTCATGTCAAGACATAATTAGATTTGATGCTAAATTGATATTGCGACTCTCAATTATGAGGCTCGACGTTAATTTATTACGATACTATAATAAAAAATAAAAAAATAATTTGAACGATAAATAGACTTGGAAAATAAACTTAGAAAATAATTTGGCAAATAAAATTTTTAAGAGATATTTTTTAGGATTAAACTAAATTTTGTATCTTTTTTTTTTGAAAAATCCAAGTACCTTTCTTCGAAAAGAGTGCTTTTTAGTGATTATTATCTTTACAAAGGCATAACCAATCCTTTAATCGAATCTCCGAATCTAGTATCCTTTTTAGTTTCTTAGTTATCTTAATACTCGGTGACGACTCTAAAACTTTTTTCTAAATTCTTTCACTTTTTCATAAATTTTTTTAAAGTACCTAAATGTTGGGTAACGACAACATGCTTGCCTTTTCTATTTTTCTTTTTAAATAAACTTTTTAGCAAATACTTCTACTTCTAGAAGTTGAACCAATAAATTAAAGAGAATTTAATTTAGGAAACATTTTGCTCTAAGATTGTTATGGATAATATACCTATTTTTTATTTGCTTGAGTTAATTTCCATTGACACTACTCGTTGAAATTACTAACTAGTTATATAGGATAGTTAATGACCTGGTTCGGGGAGTGAAGCGAGAAAAAAAGAAAAAAACAATATAATATACGCATATTTATGCGCAATGTTATGTTTTTCTTTTTATTGAAATAGTAAATTATGATGTTTTACGTATTATGCAAAATGATGTTGGGATTTTCCATTATCTAGCTAGTAAATAATATATATACCCATCAATTTCCTTGCCTTTATGGGAAACAATAAAGCTAGTAGAGATACAAAATATCAATATCACATAATTATTTAATAATAAAAAATCTAATATTCTAATACTTTATAATTATCATTTATAAACAATAGTTTAACCAAACCTTCTAACCAATCTTTCTCTTCCACAACTAGTGTAGATGATGCTTAACAAAGATGTAAGTACTGGAATGATTGTTCAAACCTTCAACAAGGACACATCATCGCAACATAAGCTTCCTTTTTCTTTCTCGAATTTAAAAAAAATAGCTAACACAATATTTTGTTCGAAACTGATCCAAACAAGAAAAATAAAGTAGAAAACAAGAAAAATCATACAAAATAAAAATTTATGTAGTTCGGCAATTATGCATACTCTATAGTTACACTAGGAGTTTTCATTAAAAATTTTCAATAGGCGATTACAAATATAAAAAAAGTTATCTCTATTTATAGTGTGAATAATTAGAGTTATAATTAATAAAAAAGTATTACGGTCCAATATTTTGTAAACCTTTCGGGTAGTCTACCTTCGAGCTTTCATAAATTAAGCGCTATCCTTTTGACTCTTGTTCTCTAATCAGCTAGCGAAATCCTCATGCTTGTTCCGCATAACACATTAAATTGTGAGTCATATAAATATCAATCTCCATAACTTAATATATTTATGCATGCAATGTACTTTCACACGTATTAAAAAGCAACATTTTCACCTCCACGGTCATGTATCCAATAGGTTTTAATTAAATAAGATTTGATAATTGTAGTTTTTTAATTTTTTTTTATGAAATAGTTTTTCAATTATAATTATATAATCTGAAAGAGCTACTCTCATTTAGCTTATGACAAATTAAAATTTCCACCGACAAAGAAAAAAGAAAAAGAAATAGTCCTAAAACTTTGAGGCTTATTGTAAAAAAAAAAAAAAAAACCATTCAGCATTTGCTAGCTAGCTTAAGATTTGAACTTTATTCTCATTAATATATTTTAAACATATCCAAATCCGATTAGTTCACTCATTGAGGTATTTTAAGTTGAGTTTCCACGTAGATTTAAGTGTAATAGAATAACTTTATATGTGTGTATAAAATAAATTTAATATTTAGTTTTCACGTAGATTTAAGTGTAATAGAATAACTTTATATGTGCATGTAAAATAAATTTAATATTTAAACGACATATAATTAGTATACTTATACAGACATCATTTCTGTTAAAAAACAAAAACAAAAACAGAGAAGAAAAAAAAGAAAAAAGGCTTAAAAGATCATATTTGTTCTGAACCTCGCGAGCATATGTAGCATGCATCGCATGACATGGACCCAAGTAAGTTGGAAATGTGGCAAGGGAGAGTTTTTTGTTTGGAAGACAGATCATGATGATAAAGATACTACCAAGGATGGTGATGACTCTGGAGATATAATTATAATTATCTAGGAAAAGTGTACAACTGTATATCACAGTTGTAACTAAAAAAAAAAAAACGTTCAGCGTTGAGGCGGGTACGTGTAATTAATTACTCTTAGTTTATTATTTTCTGCTTAGTACTGATGGGATCCGAGCCGAACGCATAAACATTGTTTTGCCGAGAACATAACATCAGGACATGCATTTATTGACTTGCGTACTAATAACGAAAGAGAAATGAGAAATTAGCTGGCACTGCATCTCACATTCATATTCAATCTTATAATGATCTCTCTCTCCTATTCATACTGGTCAAATTTAGTATTTGCAGGCTAGCTCTATGTGCCTAGCTAGGTTCCATTGACTTTTCATGATTTGATTATTATGCTGGTTTGTATATTCATTTGTAGTGGCAATATGTGGTATGCTCATTATATTAGATAGCCGAGGGTCTTTCTTTGAGAAATCTGGCAGAGAGGAGGCCATTCTTCAAAAGAAAAAGAAGGCAGAGAAGTTGGGTAACCCAGCAGTCTGCCATTTGAAGAGGATATTGAGGTGATGGAAGCGGCTTTGCGAGGAAGGCGTCCTCGCCAAGACAGTCACTTGGCCGACAAATCGACAACATCAACAAATGGTGCCACAGACCATGGTACTGGCGATTCCTCCGTGACTACAAACGGATCGGGTGAATTTCAAGACCAAAATGGCGAACATGAGACTTCCATTTTCATTAACAAAGGTATGGCCACAATATTTAAAGCTAGCTTCTCAACATGCTACATGACTTAGTTATTGTCTTCGGGAAAAGTTATGTCCTCACGACAAAGCATTAATGCATGCTTTCCGCGTAGACAAACTTTCTACTCTCTCCTTTTCAAAAATTATATATAAACTACTTATTTGCTTAACTTTTGCAGAGCCTCTGAAAGTTATAATGAGGTTTTGTTGACTTTATTTGTATGAAACACATTTAGCAAACAACAGGTTTAAGTTGGGTTGAATGCTATATAAAACAGGAAGGAAAATTTGAACGGATGTTATAAACAGGAAGAAATTAAGGAGACCTGAGTTACAAATTTACTGACTATATATACGTAAAAAAATTTAGTTGAACTTTGATATCAGATACATTTATATGAGATTGCATGCTACTGAGGGTAAAATATTGATGGTCATTGGATCTAGTTATTTTTTTCTGCTTAAATTGAGTGTCGTCTTTCCTGAACTTCAAGTGGAGAATCGCTTCCTTGATTTCTATTTTTGGATTTTACTTTCCTGAACTATATTTCATTTGAAACCTCTTCATTAAAAGATCTTTTAATTCTAATTATAGATTTATTTTATTTTATTCTATTAAATTACTAATTTTAAATATTTTATTCTACAAAAACAGAATAATAGCAATAAAATTACAATTAGAATGTGATGCAAAATCTCTTAACTAATGAATGGAGTCCTACAAAAGTTAACATAAAGATTCGAATTTTTTTATAAAAAAAAAAATAATTCCAAAAGATTAAATCTAAAAATTAAAAATTTAGAAATTAATTTTCAAATGAATTAAAATTCAAGAATGCTAGCCAGGAGTGCTTAGAGATTTTTACTAATTTTTGTTACTAGCTAAATGATGTGACATACTCATTATTATTATTATTTTAATCTACGATGGATCTTTCAAAATTAATGTAATATTACCATTTTTTAAATTTATATACACCAACACAGATTGGCATATTATTTAATAAAAAAGAAGAAGAAGAAGTAAAGACCTCTTATAATTTTCAGCATTATCTTTTATTTTTACTTACTATTTTATTCAAACTGTAACCGATAATTCAGGCATTTCAAATCACTTCCTCAATAAATTCTACGCAATGACAGCGTTGGTCAACAGATAAATGCACCAATAAACGACACGCATATATCATATTACGCCATACAACAGCAAATACTCTTGCAGGATGGATGGGAATAAATTTTTTTAATTCTTTTATTGGGTATCCACATCTATATATACACAGATTAAATGTGTTCGTTGAGCTGACCTTTAATTAAATTTTTTAATATATATATATATATATATATATATATATATATATATATATATATATATTGACGCTACATACAACAATTATAAATACACGTAATGATTTTCAGAAACAAAATTTAATAAAGGATACAAAATAAAATTTAATGACTCAATCGGTTTTTAATTTAATAATGTGAATTATAGGAAGGGAGGTGCTCATTCGATGGTGGTGGTGAGATGGGGTGGATGTACTTTGTAATTTTACAGGTCATGTTGGTAAAAAATAAATACAATATTGACAAAGGATCTATTTATCTTTTATTTATTAGATTATGTTGGTATCATGTGCGGAAACGTATTCGAAATTCAGTCAATGGGATCAATAAACTTGATTATAAATAAAAAATTAATTATAGTACTCCAATAAAAAAAATTTAGTTTAAAATACTAATCTACGGTCAACATAACCTTTAACAAATCTTATGTTTGTACTTTTTAACAACATTGTCATTGAAGAGTAAACTGGCCAAGGCAAGCTACTTGGATGCTCTTCTTTGGACATAATGGCGACAGCACATGCATTCTTCCTCTCTTAACAATTTTCTTGAAGCTACAGAAAATTTAATATTACTTTCAATTATATCATTGGCAATTAGAACAAGAATCGAGGGTTTAATTATATTAAAGATCGTTAAAATTATCTAAGTTGGCTAGGAAATCATGGGTATTTATTTGTCCTTGATTAATTCTTTAGCTTGCTTTGATCTCCCAAAGTAATTTCAACCAGAAGCAGTTAATTTTACATGATGATATCTTGGTTTTGAGTTGCGAAGCTGGATAATGTGCTGGTGTTGGTGCAATTCATAATAAACGTCAGCTAGGCTTCACCGTTATAGCTAGGATCGAGCTGAACCAGTGGCCAAATACTCACATTCCTTCGCTTATGATGATGGCTCACCATGTTACAAGTCTTTAATTATAAGTGAACATAAGAATGTAATTGAGTTATGTATTCATCAAATGGATGATTGTTCATCCAATTGCAAAGCACGTATATAGATTTTACAATAATTGAAATGCTTTGTCTACTGCATGTGGTTTCAGGCACTGAATCTACTGATGGATTCCCTGGATTGAAAGGTACAGGTGCTGATATTGTACCCATCAGTTCCCCCAATCACGGGACAACAGGACATGGAGATCTTAGCCTCGTCAAAGATGTCGCGGAACTGTATCTTGATGGGGTATTTGAGAAGCCTGCTGCACATGAATTCTACTGTCCTAACTGTAATGCTTGCATCAAGAAGGTTGTAATTCGCCCTGAGCCAGATGATAAATTCAGATGCACATCATGCTTCAGTTTTCTCACACCAATCGGTAATGGATATACGTATATCTTCCATTATCCCTGTTGATAGCCTGCTCTCCATTCCATCATGCATGCCACAATATGGCCACAGTTTGACATTATATATTCTGGAACATTGTTTACAGAGGATGATGATGGTATTGATTGGATTATTAATTTCAATGCTTAATTATCTTTGTATTTCATGCAATCTCGTCAAAGATTCTGTATATATCACATCACATGCATCTCGTAATGATCACTGATCTACTTGCTATTCTTTGAATAGTTTTTGTATGTAATGGCGTTTTCAAGTTCTATTCTTCCCAAGCTAAGATATAAAAAAATGCTCCAGTTTAACCTTTTTGTTTTATCCAACAGGCAATTGGTTCTTCCCTCAGGTGGTAGCACAACATGGCGCTATACTGAATGAGCAAGGTGATATATTTTATGCAATATTTTCAAACATCGATACCATTTCCATTTTTTTTTAATTATTATGTAATTGATCTGATTTTCCTTATCTATGCGGTGAGCTATTTTCCACAACCAATTGCTCTTTTAGTCTCGGTGATCTCAATTAAGCAATGCTAGTGCATTAATTTTCCATTTTTTTTAGCTTTTGCCTATATATGTTTCACGTAATGGGTTGATCATGCTCCAGAAACTAACACTGTGCAAGTTCCACCACCTGATTCATCAACATACAAATCTCCATCTGGTGGAACACCGCCACTTGATCAAAACAAAGCTCCATTTAGTGAAAAAGTACACGATGAAGATCCCAATGCTTCAGCGATAAACCAATTTCTATCACCTGTTGACGCACCCCAGGAAGCTGACAGGAATAATATAGCCCCCTCAAAGCAAGACTCTGAACTACCTGAAGTTATAATTGATGGAGGAAGAGGTATGAATGGCCGCAAGAATAAAGAAATTAGTTCTCAACACTATCTCATTTGGCGATTTGAATTGCTATTGACTTGCTTGCCGTGGCATATACGTACTGCAGCTTTATGCATGCAACCAGTCTAGCAGTAGTGCCAATCCCTAATATTGATTATCCTTAAAAATATTAGTAGTATATCTGTTTATCTTTCATTTTAACCTTGAAAATACCTATTTCCGATTTCATTGTTACTATATACTTCTTTCATTAACCTACTGCAAAGTAAATCTCGTGGAAGTTCTACAAATACTTTGAATTTACAGATCAGTCTCTTGAATGTAAAATATTTCAGAACCAAAAAAAAAAAAAAAAAAAAGAAAGAAAAAGAAAACCTAATGTAGCACTTGTTGCATCAGGCCCTGAAGCAGAACCTCTAATCATTGTTGATTCAACTGAGGGAGTAACAGATTCTGAACCAAGAGGTGCTAAGAAATTGGAAATAGTGAAAAGCATTGTATATGGCGGTTTGGTTGAATCAATTACAAGTCTAAGTGTTGTGACATCTGCTGCTAGTGCTGATGCTCCCACATGTAAGTTGCAAATCATGTTTTTGTTTTTTAACAGTACTCCTCCCCAAACTGTATAAATTGGATTTTTCTTTCCTTGTTTCTTCATTATCTGATATTTATAAATTGATTATTATCATGATATTTCTTAATATATTTGGCCTATATGTTTGGATCATTCCACTGTTCAAATATATTTGGTTTATATTTTGTTGTTCTTGTTTTCTTGAACTATGAACAACCTCAAGTAGAATTTTATTCTTAAGTCAGGTTGGAGTGGAAGCATATATTCTAAGAAATAAGAACACCCACCAACTTTCTGAAAACATATGAATATAGCAGAATTTCTCTATATCTTATCATGTGTAATGCACCGTATTCTTCAAACTCCTGTGTTTGATTTGTTTTGCCATGATAGTTGCTTGCATACTTAGAAGTATCTCTTCCTTCATTATGAAGGATTATTTTAGTGGTCTGAACTTGTATTGTTCATTAACTATTTTCTGGTCTCAGTGAGCATTGTGGCTTTGTCGTTGGCAAACTTGATTGGTGGAGTTTTCACTATTGCTCACAATGTAAGTAACTTTTCCAGTCCATTAGTAAATTAGTGGATCGGAATAAGAGATTGGGAAGTCTTCTTATTATATGTTTGTATTTCTAGTAGATATTATATTAAACTAAGATATTCCCCCAACATGTAAAAATACAGCTTTTGGACTTGAAAAGTGAGCAGCAGCCTAGAGGAGCCTCCAGTCTAACAAATGAGCAAGTTGATCGCTATCAAGAAATGCTGGGACGGAGAGAGAATTTCTTACTTCACGCCACCATTGCTTTGTTATCATTTCTTGTTTTTGGTTTAGTACCACCTGTAGTGTATGGCTTCACATTCATGGAGACCGATGACAAGAATTTCAAGCTAGCAGCAGTGGCTGTAGCTTCTCTTTTATGCATTACCATACTAGCCATTGGAAAGGCTTACATCCAGAAGCCGCCCAAGCACTACATCAAGACTGTGCTGCAATATTTTGTCACTGGAATTATGGCTTCAGGTGTTTCATACGTAGCAGGTGACCTTGCCCAAAAGTTAATTGAAAAGCTTGGTTGGTTCAATTCAGGAGAAGCTGTCCCAGTGTCTCTTTCTGAGATGAGTTCAGGGAGGCTGGCTTGGGCATCCTATTGATGTCATGATTGATCCAACAAAATTTCTTTTTAAGGATTTGCTTGGAATAATGTTGTCAAGTCGATTGTTTGTTGTGAAGAGTCAAAAACTAACGTGGAAATTTTCATTTGGCAGCTCTATTGTTGCCATGCATGTTCAAGTACTTCTAGTACTTTTAGTCTTCAAGTTTATTGTTACATTTCGAGGGTTAAAACATTTTTGAATGATTGCTGCGGTTCTTTCTTTGGTGGTGTAATTAGATTTTGATTATGTTTATTACAGTCTTGCTGTAATGCGAATGGATCTGGTTTTTTTTTTTTTTTTTTTTTTTTTTTTTTTTTTAATTCTGCCTCCTTTTCCTTTCAAATTAATCTCTTGTTTGGAAATATGTACTTCCCCAATAAATAATTAGCATTATATCAAAGTCAACACAAACCCTTTGTTTGGATAATTCCTCTTGGTAGGAAAGAAAAGAGAGGAAAGAAAGTGAGAGAAAAGAAAAGAGAGAGGAAAGAAAATCATTTTTCACTTGTTGTTTGGATAAGAGTGGAAAGGAAAGAAAAGAAAATACATTTCCCTTATTTGGATAATTGTAAAAAGAGGAAGGAAAGAAAATATATTATAGTATATTTACTATAATACCCCTGTAATTATATTTCTATATTTAAATACTTATAATAAATTTGTATGAATATTTTTTTCATGAAAATAATACAAATGATAATAAAATAAAAATCTAGCATGTAGCATATATTTGAAATGATAAGATAAATAATGAATCGCCTCCATAGAATAATCGATAATCTGTTTATTAATTAATTAATCAAATAGCCAATTTAGATTAATTATCAACATAAAATTAATTTGAATATGTATAACATGTATTATTATTTATGCATATAATAAGTTAATTGCTTTTACCCATCATTTTCTTCGTTTTTTTTTAGAATAAACAATTACTATTTAGCAATTAAAAAAAGAGAGTATATGGTAACATTGCGAACAATCATGGAAAGTCAATTGAATCACAAAAAATGAGACAATTGATTTAAATTGATGGAATTGAAAATATAGATATTTATTTGATAAAATTATAAAAATATAGGACTTAACTAGTGGGTTTAGTCTAAATACACGCATATATGTACATATCACGTGCACCCACTACGTCGAAAAAGAGAAATATATACGAAGCTACGCTTCGAGGGAAGCTTCGTGGAAGCCGCCTCGATGGCGATCACCACACTCCATTTTCTCTTTTGTTTACGACCATTTTCTCAATCGGGTCTCTCTTAATTCTTCAAATTTCACCATGAAATTCATCGAAAGCTCGACCCGAAACACTTATTCGGCTCCAAAAAGACCGATCCATGCTATCTAGATCGGATCCATCATCGTTTAGCTCATGTGCGGCGTCCTCCTCTTCCGATGACACGTCGGTCCATAAACCGGATTCCCCGTAATCAAATTCGATTTTCGGACTCCTACTAGTGTTTTGCCACAAATATCGGGTGACTGGTCCGATATCTCGGGAACACAATGCTGACCGGAGAGAAAGCGAAGGTAACACCGGTAACCTTGTGTTGATTTACGGATTTGTGTTACTTGCGGCGGTTTGCAAAGGAGAGGGACGAATGATGAGAGGCGAGAGGGCAAAAAAGTTATCACAAAAAAAAAAGAATGAAAATGAGATTGTTTTGTTGGGTTTTGCAGATTTTGATTCCTTTGTGTTGTCAAGGTCGATGAGTGATCCTTCTCAAGAGAAATCAATGGAAATACCGTCGAGGAAGTCATCGGATCATGAAGGGAAAGACTCTTCGTAGACCCAAAAAAGGCGAGAAAATGAGATTGATTGATCGGATATCAATGACGATCTTTTGAGGTTTCGTAGAGAAAATGATGATTTACGAAATGAGCGACGGGACGGAAATGAGTCATCGATTATCAATCCCTCTTTTAATTTTATGAACTTGTTCCCTTTGTAAATATGCCTTATTTTAGAGGAATTTTTGGTTAGTGGATAAGCTTAATGGTTACTTAATCCCATCGGTACTTGCTAGGCATTATTATTCCGTATGTAAAAGGATTATTAGCAATCTTTGTATTATCTATTGATCTTTTGAAATTAGCGACGAATTGCATTACATGCTTGCCTTGTCCCCTTGGAAAATATCTTTCAACGGATGGCAATTTTTTTGAATTGATTACGAAGAAACGAGAAAATGGTTACTCTAATGATGTCATGAATATTATGGGTGTTTTTGGATTTATTTATGGGTCCTCAACGGATGGCAATACATGCTCGTCGGTAACGGCTTCGGCGAGAGAGAGAGAGTGGGTTTGCGAGAGACGAGATGGGTAGCGAAGAGAAAGAGAAGGGAACACCGAGCAAGGGAAAAACTGAAAAAAAAAAAACAAATTGGTTTCCTTTCATTTTTCTCCCCATTTCCTCCCAATTTTGGGAGGAAAATGGGTCCCATAATTTTTACATTTTTATTATTATTTTTTCATTCCACTTGCTTTCCTCCCTCTTCCCAAAAGGCGAAACATTTCCTTTCACCCCTTTTTCTTTCCTCTCCCCTACTTTCCACCCTATCCAAACAAGGGGAAAAAGAAGATAAAACAATAACTAAAAATCTTTTTTTTTTTAGCGATATAGGCATAAATTTATATTTTAACCAAAGACAAGATATTACTCACGACGGAAAGCAATTAACAATTCTAACCGGAAGGTTTTTACATTTTGGTCCCGCATTTAGACATGGTAACGGTTTGGTTTGAACCGTAAATCAAATCGAAATCAAACTCGTTAAAAAATCAAACCGAAACCATTAAAATCGTAACCTTAATCAAATCAAACCGTAATCGACTACCTACGAGTTGGTTATGGTTTAAGATATCATGAAATCGGAATCGGTGGTTCTAAACTGGTGGTTAATCGTAGAACCGATGGTTTCATATTTTTCCTAAAAAATTGGATTGGGTTGAAAAAAAACAAAAAAATTTAAATAAAAAAACCAATTTTATATGGGATAGACAGTAGCTATTGGACTGAAAAATGAAAAAAAAAAATTAAGCCTAATAATTTTTAAATTTTGACTTAATATATTAATATATACTAATATACATACATACATACACACACACACACACACACATATATATATATGATTATGTGACAAACGATCTGTGACCATTTGTCACATACTCAACGATCACAAATGTTTGTGACCATTTATAAAACGGTCACAAACATTTGTGACCATTTTCTATTTTTTTTATTTCTTTTCTTTTCTATAAATACTCTTTCACTCTCAATTTTTTTCATTCTTCTCACAACTCAATCTCTCTCAATCTCTTAAACTCTTAAGTCTAGAATTCTCAATACTATCCTACAATATTTTTTATACTCCAAATACTTCTTAAATTTTTACATTTCTATTATTTTATATGACAAAAAATGGCAAGTTCAAGTTCACATATGCCATCACAACAAAGTAATACCGTCAATCAAAATCAAGAAGAGGAGTAACAACAACAATCAAATTTTACACCTAGATCATCCGACATCTTCAAAATTCATTTCTCAAAAGTTCCGTTAGAAAAATGTGTTTTTATTGTGATTTGCAACTACCGCAACAAGCAATACACATTCAAACAAGGAGGTGGTTATGAAACATTCAAAAACCAATGGAGAAAAAGCATCCATCCGTACTTGGTAATGATAGACATCGGACACAAATATCCGGGTTTGCTTCTCAATCTTCCTCTTTATTTCAGTATACTCGATGAAAAAAATAAAGAAGAAATTACTAAAATGATATGTGTTGATCATTTATCTTTTAGCTTTGGTCAAAAAATGGGTTTTAGTGATTATTGTTCTAACGCTTTGAATCTCGCTTTCAAGCAAGTTGAAAGACATTCTTTAAAAAAAAGTTATAAAATTATATAGAGATAAAAAAAGAGAATTAACTCGTATTATTTACAAATTTGAATGGTCGTGTTTCTATATGTTCCGATATATGGTCCGATCAATGGCAAACGCACTATTTTATGGGTGTAACTTGTCTTGGATTGATAATGAATGGCATATGTAAAAACGTCTTCTTGCATATAGAGTTTTTGATGATAAACATACCGCTCAATATATATATAAAATACTAAAAAGGATTTTAGATGAATATGTTTTACTTTTAATAATATTTTCAATCTCTTTTGATAATGCTAGTTCTAAGATGCTTCGAGTAGAGTCTTTAAGAGAACTTTGTCAACCCCATCCTGGAGGTAAGTTTTTCCATATTAGATGCGTATGTCATGTTTTAAATTTATGTGTGCAATCTAGTTTGGAATATCTTAAAGATATTGTTAGGCCAATTAAAGCTCTTGCTAAATATTTATGGACACATCCCCAAAAGATGAAATCATGGGGAAAGTTTTACAAAGAAAGAAATAAAAAACCAAAACGATTTTCAAAAGATGTTCCAACTCGTTGGAATTCAACTTATGACTTACTTAGGCATTCTTTTGAATATCGAGATTTATTATGCTCATTTTTTTCAGAAAATATTGATTATGTTTTTATTTGTCAAAATGATTTTGATATTTGCGAACCACTTTTGGAACTTTTAAGTGTTTTTAACAATGCAACATGCACTTTTAGTGTCGTTTATCAACCAATTTCATATTTATTTATGATTGAAGCAATTAATATTATTAAAGCTTTTAATCATATAGAACAAGATATGCCAACTTTACATGTCGTTGTTCAAATAATGAAACAAAAATGATTAAGTTATTATGAAACAATTCCACCTATTTATCTTGTTGCTTTAATCTTTGATCCTAGATTTAAAATGAAAGGTCTTTCTATTGTTTTGAATGCTTATTATGAGTATTTGTAATTATTTGATAAAAATGTAGAAATAGAAAATGCTTCTATTATAAAACATGTTAGAGATTTATATATTGAAATGTCTTTAATCGTGGGTGATCAACATGCTAGTTCCTCTTTACCACCTATGCCACAATCATCATCAAGTAGCCAACGTGTTAGAGCTAGGTTATCTTATGGCCATAGAAAGGACAAAAAGGCCAAGAGGATCATCATGCTCCACTTCTAAGCTTGATATTTATCTAACAATTGTGTTTGAGTTTGGTGATAGCAATGCGGATGTAGATTTTGAAGTAATTGATTGGTGGAAAAGACATGCAAGTACCTTTCCATTTCGTCTATAATAGCTAGACAAATACTTACCGTGCCGCTTCAACAACAGCCATTGAAAGAGCATTTAGCTCCGGAGGTAATATTTTGGATGAAAGGCGATCACAATTGGCTCCCGAGTCACTTGAAGCCCAAGTATGCGTGGATGATTGGATAAGAACCGATAAGAGAACACAAGAACAAAAACAATATGATTTCAATGAAGAAAGTATGGATCTAACACCCGACGACACAACAACAAAAACTTCGAAAGCCGAACTTTCGATCAAGAAAGTAACTAGGCACAACTATATAGAACATAGATGTAATTTATAAAGGGGTAATTTGAAGTGTAAAAGAGAACTACGTAAGCTTTGATTCCTCTAAACCCGAAGAGGATACGTAGGAAGCTTAATTTTTGTAGTGTTTACAAAAATTAAGTTCAAGCCCTTCTTTATTTATTTCTTTTTTTCTTTGATTTATTGTGTGAAATACATTATAATGTAAAAAATATTATAATATTTATACATTATGCAAAAAGAAGTTTTTTCGTTTCAATGTTAATGTTGAGAAAAAATGCTCGATTTTTTTTATTTTTTTATTTAATAAAAAACCATTGAACCGTCGGTTTTACGATTTCAAACCAAAACGAAAACCGTCTATAGAAGGTTTGGTTAAGGTTTCACCTTTTGGTGAAACCTTAACCAGTGGTTCCTAAACTAAAGCCGGCGGTTCGAGAACCGTTACCATGTCTACTCGCATTCATAATAAAAAAAATCTTCTTTCATAAAACATGAATACACTACAAAAAAACCAAAAAATAATCCATCTCTAAATGATAAAAATTCTTCTCTAATTGTATTTAGTAACGGATTTGCGACAACAAGCTTTTTATAACAAAAATTATTGCTTGCTAATGCATAGAATTTTCATTGGTAAAGCATAATAAACAATTATCTCTCCGATATCGTATTTGTCATAAAACCATTGTTAATTGGATATTTTTGTCGCTAAATTATTTTCGTTAAATTTCTTTATAGATACGTTGCTAAATTTGTCATTATTTACCAACTCGTTGCCACTTACGTCGCTAAAATGTCGTAAACAATCGTCTCATTGGTCCTGTATTAGTTGCAAAATCGTGCTAATTCACTATTTCTATTGCTAAATTGTTATAGCTAAAGTTCCTTATAGATCTGTCACTAAACGAAGGAATTTTTTTAATATAAATTAATGGTTGTTTAATGTTAATGGTAGTAAAAAATAATACCTTATTAAAATAATATAAATTAAAATCAAATAAATATCTAAATGCGTTAAAGTGTACAAAAATATTCAAAACCTTAAAAAAACAAAAAATCTAGTCCTCAACATCTCCTACAACATATTTCAGTTATTATGTATTGAGAGGAAAGATTGACTCCTAAATTATGAGAAGGTCAACGGGAGGTATGCGAGTCTACTAAAGGTCCCGTAGCAACACTATCACTATCCGCAACTAACTTTGTATAGTGCTAACTTAACTAGCTTATTGTTGGATGGTGATCTCCATCTCCTTGATCCTATCTTCGTATCGGCCGTAAATCTCATGGTTATTACCACCGGATACCATGAAGTGATAGA